CTGCTATCATATTTCAATTGAAATCGAGTTTTATTTAACATATAAATCAAACTGAATAAATCATAATGATTCTAATAGGGTTTATGGAGAAAATTACACAATAATTTGAGTGATTAAAACCTTTAGAATAAATAATTTAAGAATCAAATTACGTCAAACAATCAAAACAGTGTCTATTGCAACTACATGTTACAAATATTTCTAATAAAATCACTCAAAAATAAAAACAACATTTTTTTTAGCTTCGCGCCCACAAGTACAATGTTTATAGTATATTTAATGTTATAAAAACAAAGGCTGAGGTAACAAAATGGTTTATAAATGAAAATGTTAGATTTCTGGTTAACTTTTAACCAAATTTAGTACAGTTTCTGAAAGTCCCTAAAGTTTCTGTTCATTGTCCATTGCCTATGTCTTCTATACAATCAAAAAAGGATGTGTATCGGAACCCTTTACCTTACTTAATATTCTGTTCTAGTCCAAGGTCCTCTTAATCAGTTATTCAGAAACAAATTTATCCTTTCGCGGCTTTCAGTCGAATACTAACAAGGAGAACCTTTCGAAAACTGTAACAGTTTTACGGGCTCGAGTAGTGAGTATGCAAGTTTTTTTAAATCAAATCAAACTTCCATGTGGATTAAGAATACAAAGTACCACGCCTATTCGTCCCGTTGCAGTAGTAAGAGCCGACTAAGGGAGCAAACTACGCAAGACAACAGCCCTGCAAAGAGAAGGAAAACTTGACACTAACCCTATACCAGTAGCCATCGTGGTATAGTAGGCCAAAACCTCCTTTCTTATCGGATGTTCAGCAGTGGACTATTAAACGCTGTTGATGATTACGTAAGTGGGGATAAAATTGTAGTCAGCAAAGTGTGGGCGTTTAATACACCTTTGTCTTATACGTGAGTGTATGTGTGATGTGTGGCATTTTTAATCATCAATTTCAATGAATTTCTAAACAAGATTCGAAATGAAATGATATTTATTGTATGAAAGTATATGTAAGTAAATCTTTTCATATATTTTTACAAGTCGGATATATTCTCAAAACTTACCACATTGGGGAATCTCTGCGTAGTCTCGACAGGCAAGATAGTCCATAAACATTATACTACAATAGTAATGAAAAATCAACAAACAACAACAGGTAAAAGTTGTAGACCTTTTTATTATCTACAACTTTTAAATTAAACTTTCTCTAATACTAGGTCTAGTTTGATTGGAAATCGTGAAAAACCATCTTCCATCCCTAATAGTTCACTTCATTTCACTTTCATAACTCGGATCGACTTTAATTTATTGTTATTGTTGGTTGTGTTTTGTTTTCCTTTCCAACATATTTCGTACTGTTAATTTATTCACCAGAAACCATTTGCATTAGTCTATTACGTTAAGCTTGTATTTATTTAAGTGGCTGATTTAACAATAAATATTTTGTAATAGGTTTTAATGTAGCTATAGAATATAAATAAGAGATGTTTTCGAATTAATACAATTATGTAACACAATTGACAGTTCTTATCCTTACATATTAGATGTCTGTATGAACGCGATAAATTGAAAATCCACCTCACGGATTTTTGATCGGTCTCACCAATAAAGAGGCTGATTTCTGAGAAAGGTTTAAGTGTATATATTATGTTTTCATGTAAATTGACTGAAATATAATGATTATTGTTAAAAAGGTCGCAAAAAAACCTTGCCTACTCGGAGCTCTACTGGCGTACGCCGCGTAAACGCGATACATTAAGGTAAAATACAGTAAATTGAGAATATTCTAAGTAGATATAATTCACTTTTTCATATTAACTAAAAAGGATTACCGAAATCCACACGGGCGATGCTGCGAGCGGAAGCTAGGCAACAATAAACTATTTTCACAGATGTGTATGATGATACTCATTTTAAGAAATATACAGATTGCGTACATTTAAGTTATGAGACTTCATGTACACAACAACATTTGGTGTCATTCATACTGAAGAAATTCATACATGAATATCTAAAATCATAAACCTTAAGTAAAAATCTTCAACTTCAGGATTATAATGGATATTATACTCGTAGTAAGTTGCCTCCAATTACTGCATGTTAGGAGAAGGCACTTTATGTAATTTGTAGAATGTTATAACAATTTACGCGTAAAGTGCTTTAAGGTAGATTAAAGTCCAGTTCAAACATTTTACATACTGTGTTTTTTCTCGAAATTAGGATCGAATTACACCTAAAGAATATTGTATCTTCTCGGTATTTAAGATAAAGTATAAAATTTATATCCAACACTTTCTTTTACAAAGTGGGATCTCATCTATCTATTATTTCATACTAACAAAATACTGCATGAATAATAGTCCTTTTAGAGAAAATGGTCGTCTATTTGTGTCGCCTTAAGCGTCGGTGGAGTGTAGGGCATAACTTTTGTTTATCGGCATTTATTGTAGGTGTAACAATGTTTCAATAAACGTAACTGACACCTGAAGGCTTTTGTTTAAGGTTAGGTGTTATGTTATACTGTCTGAAATTTCTCATTGTTACATTTGATACAAAAGATATATAATTGTGCCAAAAAAGTATTACGGGTCTATTATCTTGCAATTGATGTCGCTTTCTTGAGAGCTCGCAATGGCTTGTCATTTATTAGGTTTTTTTAAAATGCTGGTCGTAGTTAAAAAGTTAGCCTTAAGAGGAATGGCGACAGCTCTTTTCAAACATTATGAAACCAGAACGGTTAGTGTGTTTATATATAGCAGAATGGCACTAAAAACTTTAAACTCAACTCAAACTCAAACTCTCTTTATTTCATAAAAAAAAAAAAAATTTTGAAATCGTCTTTTATGTAGAGAGTCTACGTCTACGAAAGTCATAGATCAACACACACAAAAGCAACAATCTCTGTTTTGTCAAATAAGCTACTACAAACCATACAATAGTTACAGATTACTTTATAATTTTATAAGTATAACCAAGAAAAAAAAAACAAATTGTTTTTCCCGGACTGCCAAGTAAGGGTTATGTTTTTCGTGTGTACTTGTAAGTTTGTTTGTAATTTTTTTTTATTACCTTGTATCTTCCAAATGGCTTAATGCATTTCGACAGTGAAGGTATTGTTTTATCCGTCTCAAAAACCCAAGTGTCCTTAGATGTATTTTTAAAGAAAAAAATAAAATAGCACATTATTGGCGCAAAATAGGAATAGGTTAATAAAAAAGTTAACCAGGCCTATCGAGTAGGGTATCAAATCAAGGAAATTAAAAAGGGGATTACAAAAATATACATGAGTTTTATATTTTAATTTAATAAGGATGGTAATCCTTATTAAAAAAAATTAAAAAGGTTTAAAAAGAAATTGGTTTAAAAAGAATTTGATAGAGTAAAAATAGGCCGTGTTTGTGTCGGACCTCGTGCTGTTTCGGTCTTTTATATAGTGCATTAGTTTTAAATTATCTTTGTGCAGTCAGGGTTTTGATTTTTTAAATTATAAAGACTTGATTAATGACTGCTTTCAATAATGCGACACTTTTAAAACTGCAACCTTATTTTTCTTTTTAATATTTCTAGCAGATTTCTTAATTATTTTGCACTTGTGAATGATGATCTGACAAATTGCTAATACGAGTAGTATTCCAATTTTTGGTGATTATATTAAAGTTAATTAAACTTCATATACCTGTTGTAGAGCTCTTAATTTCGCTAACAAGATCATGAAGAATTTAACTTGTGGTAATAGGAGTCAGGCAAAATGTCGTCTGTTGCAATACGTGGATCCTAGAACAGGCAAGAAAATCCATGGAAACTCTTTTCGAAGGCAACTCTTTAATAACTTTCTAGTTAAATTGTTAAAATATAAGCAAAAATGCATAGATATTCCGCTTCTCCGATTTTAAAATTGCCAAGCTTCAGTCCAATCATAGGATGATTTATGTTTTATTAACGAACTAGTAATACTATTATAAATTATTTTGCACTTCATGACCAATCGTCTTTTATTCTTGTCCTTTTCTTAAATACTTGGAATGAACCTTTTTAACTTTCAACACTATCTTTAAAAGTTCCCAGACATGACATGACACCTTTCTGTAATATCAAGAGCACATTTTCTCTGGTCGTTGACTCGATTAACACGTGTGAAGAATTCCCACATGTGATTGTTACGCGAAAAATACCCTTGAGACGTGTTACAACCAATAGAAATCATCATTGTTCATAGCAAAGGATGACTTCTTTCGCACCTAGATGTAGGGTCTCACACACCAGTAAAGTGTGCACCCAAATCTTATTGGTTTTTCTTTTTTAATCTAATCAATTTGTTAGTAAGTTAAAATTATTATAATTTCCACATTAAACAATTATTATTAATACCGTGTGACTACCAGTCATGCAGAATTTCACGGATCACACGCGCGAACCCCATCGAGGTTCTCCGTAAACTCTTTTCGTTCATACCGTATTTTGTAAAGCATGCACCAGTTCCCTTAAACGGTCTGGCTGGCATTTACAGAGATCTCTTATAACTTGCATGTGGGATCAATATTAACGAGCTGTTGAATCTTTTTTTCCATAATTCATTATATTTATATGTAGCGGTTAAAACTGTACGGCTCTATTAATAAGTAAATTAGGTACTACTTAATAGGACTAATACAGTTAACATTACACTTACAAATGTTTTTGGATTTACGCACATGCTTTAATTCTTGCTTCTTCTAAAAAAATACTATAATATCGTAAAATATACAATTGTTTACGTAGCTATAAACAAATTATAACACTTAGTGAACGTATCCATAAAATCGCTATCAGATACTGTATTTCAGATGAAGATTTGATTGTTTTCCAGTTTAATCCTAAAACAAAGTGATTACATTGTTTACGAGACCAGCCACTTTAGTATAATCGTTGTAAAATATTCATAAAACAAAAGGTAAATGTTAAAAGACTTCTGCAGTACCAGGAACTTTTCAATTTACGTAAGTAACCAAGCGTCTCTTTGTCTTTAGGTACACTCAGCCATCCAGCAAACGGGCTTTAAAAGAGTGAAGAGGGGTTTCCGACCAGTATTTTATACATCACCCGCGCCGGCCCCGACGCTGCCTCCATTAGCCGAACCTCGTGATCCCTACTTCCCCTTACAATGGTACCTGAAGAATACAGGTCAAAATGGGGGCAAACCCAAGCTGGATCTGAATGTAGAGGCTGCCTGGGCCCAGGGTTATACTGGAGTTAACGTCACAACGGCGATAATGGATGATGGTAAGCATTGAGAAATATTATTTATATTGTTTTGTTGAAGTACTAATCCATATTAGAATGTTAATTTAGGCAGCCGTGAGGCACAGGCGTTTTTATTCACCCTGCGAAAGCCTCTCGGAACGAATGCGGTAGTTGCGGATAAATATTGCTATTACTATCACTTAATACTACCTTTTATGTCTATTTAAATGAATAAGAAACAGGAAAACATGAAGATTGATGTTTCTTTTCATTCGATTTAATTCAAAGAAACAATTTGTAAATTTATTGAAGATTTGTATTTTTGTGGTATCGAATAACATGAACAAAATAGCTACAAATTAAAAAAGGTATAAAAAATGGAATGTAATAATGCGACAGGATATATATTATAATACGACAGAAATGCATTTACATAAATTTATTAACTATATTTTATTTATACAGAAACGCATATACCAAATGATAAAACTAGAAGGAAACTATTAAGAAAAGAGTTAAGATGTAATATCTCGCTTAAAGTTTTTGAAAAGATTTTTTCCGATATCAATCATAGACCTGAAAATCTAATTTTAGAAAATTAACAAAGTAAACTGAAAATAGAAAATATAGAAATTTACTACGTAAGATAAGAAACAAGATTAATATTAAGAAAATAATCTGAAGATAGAAAATATAGAAATTTACCGTGTAAAAAAAAAGAAATAAGATTATTATTCTTTAATAACTTTTCCAGTTCGAGTAATCCTCTAATCAATGTCGAGCTTACTCGATGTTCCCTTGGGAACCGACTTGAAGCAATCTAACAAAATATAACGATGATGATAAAATATCTTATTTCTACTTTCCAGGGAAAAATCTCAGCTTCGTATAATATTTTACAAATTATAAAAGTATACTCACCCAACAGGTGTCAAGGAAAATATTAAATTTCTGTCTCTAATTAACTTTCTTTATACCTTCGTTAACAATAATGATTATAACAGCTGTAGATAGTAGAGGGATATATGAACTTACAAAATCCACAAAGGTATGTACGTTAAGCACCAAGGGACAAAATTAAGATCTACGATAAATATACAATACAGAATACAAGGTTTAACAATTCGACGGACCTGTTAGTCTGGTGGTAAGTGACCCTGACTGCTAAGCCGGAGGTCGTGGGTTCGATTCCCACCCAGGACAAATATTGCGTGATGAGCACGGTCATTTGATCACTGTCTGGCTGTAATTTATCTATAATACATAAGTAATGTTCCTTAGCAATCCGGTCACCATAGCACAGGCTCTGCCTAGTTTGGGATCAGACGGTCGTGTGTTGAGATATATTATTATTTCAACAATTTGTAATTATATTCAAAAGTTTTCTATAAAAGTAAAACTAAAAACTTTACAACGGTTAAATTTTAAAAATAAGTAAACAACGACTAAAGTGTTTTGAGAACTCTGACCAAAAAATTTATTCTCGGTTTTAATTCGACTACTATGATTATACAACAATGGTTTTTTGTCGAAATCTTACCAAATAAAATATTAGCATTTTTAAAATAGTTTCGTTAATCTTAAATAGATTGTCAGAGATTTAGCGTAACAGATAAAAAAAAACGTGGAGTTGACAACCTCTTTTGTCAAGTTGAACAATGTGAGGCTCACCATAATTACATTACACGACAGTAATGAGTTTTAATTTTGGATTTTAATAAGAATAATGAGGCTTATACTCTATGAGAATAAATAAAACTAAGACTAAAATATTTTGGAATGGTCAAAAATGTCAAGAAAGAAATTTCTTAGCACATGTAATGATATGATGATGATGATTATCTGTGAGGCTGTGGTATCAGTTATTACTTTAGTCGAGTCGGACTTTTAGTTTTTTTGTAAAGTATTTTTAAAGCATTTTCTAAATTACTTAATACGTAATTTATTAATACCAAATGATGTCCTAAAAATTAGAGTTTTTATATTAACACACCAGGGGTAATGTAGAATAGTAATATATAGTAAAGTTTAAAAAAAAAACGTGGGGGTCTATCTACCCCCTGTCGACACGAAGTTCCTTTCGCTTTTTGGTAGATTTTTGCTAAGCATTCAATATAATTTAAATTATAAAACATCAAGTTAATAGAGTTAAATTTAAAAATATACGATAAAATATATTTATTATGTATAAAATAAATAATGATAAATTAAACACTGCATGATCTGGGATAAAGTGTCGGAAAAAAGTCTTGTTACACATTTTTCGGTCTCGCTCCTATCCGCTCAGAACGTGTAACGCGCGAAAAGGAATATCGTTCCAAAACATACCATGTAAATAAAGCTATGGAGGTCCATTGTATGATTTGACTCGTTCAGTATCAAAGAAGTCCAAATTGACAATTCACGTTATATGGGGCAAAGCGATCTCTAGTATAAAAATTAAAGTTCGTAATTTGTTACAGGTGTCGACTACATGCATCCAGATCTGAAGTATAATTATGTAAGTATTTTTCACTACCTATAATAGATATTATTTTGGCCGTCTGTTGATCAAGAGTATATTATTATCTGGTTCCCTTGCTATAAGGAACGTTTGGTTTCAGTCAATTCAATATCGACATACCTCTTGACTTAATGGTCATGAACCAACCAATTACTACATACGTACACACATATATAAATCAAAGAACTTAATTATTTGTTACTACTTTAAGGACAAGATTTATTAAGGTTTTCATAAACAATCATTTTGAAATACTCCGATTCAAAATTCCCATTAAGGATGAAGAAATACCTAATGTTCTTTCAACGGGGGAACATTTTTATTTATTAAAATAATTTAAAACACTCGCTCTAGTCTTACAAGCAAAAAAAACTATGGCCAAATCGGTCTATGCCTATACGAGTTACAGAGGCACACACATACACATGTTTCCTCCGGTTACTACGTGTCGGGTGTTCAAAATAATATAACATAGATTTTCATATAACAAGAACAACCGGTTGTTTGTACGTAGGTATGTAAAAAGACAATAAAATCCTCTCTATCGTTCAAGAAATATTAGATTATCGTGTTCCATTAGGTGTAATGATACTAAAACAAAATATTATGAAAGCCCTCGCAACCAACCCACAGAACTATAATGGAAAATTGATATCCAATTAGTCTCAGATGTCGGCTAATAAGTAACCACTTGTTGTATTAACGATACCCTTAAAATCTTATTAGGTGATTACTAGGGTAATATTATTAAACTATAACATACTTATAGAAATTAGGTTTATAAAGTTAACCGAAAAGGTTAAGAGCGGCCTTCTCTGAAATTAAGTGTTACGTCTTAGGGAGTAGTCTGTCGTTGCCTATAAAATTTACGATTTAAGAAGAGTTAAGAATCAGTTCTTTATTTGCTTTTTGCACCATTCGATTTTGCTTGAATATAATTTTAAGAAATTTTTAAAAGTTTTTTTTTGTAAAAAAAAGACAACTTCCGCATTCGGAATATATCCTGTGTCATTGGGGACTTTACAAGCATACGTGAAACGGACACAAAGAACACCCAGACTCAGAACAACAATTTGTGGATCACACAAAGTGTCGTCCCATGTGGTGATCGGACCCACAACACTCAGCGTAGTAGTAAGAGCGTGGCGACCGCTTAAAGATAAAAAAAAAACACACACACACGCCATCCGTGCAGTCAGTCGTGAAGTTTGCTTTGAAGCAATATTGAAAAAAGTAGATTAATCTTAAACCATACCAGAAAATAATTATTAGCAGCCTTTAGTGGGAGTTCTCTCGCTCGATAGCCTGATTGCGGCTATCGTGCGGAGCGAGAGTGCGTGGAACTCTGCCGTCTCCTTCTGCGAGCAAGTTATGCTCGCGAAGGAGACGGCGGAGCGGGACCGGGAGAGGTTTAGAACTCTCCCGGCCCGCCAGGCCCGGGCACGGGCCAGGCAGCGCAGGCGACTCAGGCGCCGGAGGTCGCAGAACGACCTCCGTCCTCCATAAGCGCAGGCCTGGGGGTGACAGGTGAGGCCATCTGTCACCCTAGCAGGGGCAGGCCGGGGTGGCGGCGAGCGCGTTGCGAAGCGCGCTCGTTTCCAGGGAGCACAGGGAACATGGGGTTCCCACACGGGGCGGGGGTCGTCTACTCGTCTGTAGATGACCCGAGGTATGTCGGGGCACCAGGGCCTTCCTTTCTAGGGTATACCTGGTTCCCCGGCTATTAGTACCCGGCGAAGGCGTGCGGTTTTAGTCGGTTCGAGTCCGACATGCCACCGACAGGTGGTATCCGAGGGGATTTCCGCACGGAAAAAAAAAAAAAGAAAAAAAAAAAGGTGAATTTTCTCTAATTATCTGCTCTCTACTGATACAGAAACATCTAAATTGATTTTATTTTATTGTTGTTGTATATTTATTGATTTAGGTATTAGACGTCAATTTCACGACCTTCCTTTAAAATGTTCTGGATTACCATGTGTGTTTTCAATTTCTATATTTGTGATGATGCTTTTCCGAACCATTTGTAATAATTCCATTTTTATTTAAACGATACTTTATGATAAATACATATGTATATCAGAGCTGAGAACAGACTGCACGGATGGCGTAATAGTTTAAGCAGTCAGCTCGCCACTTTCTACAGCGCTGAGTGTTGTAGGTTCGATTTCCACGGGATCACACTTTGTGTGATCCATAAATTGCTGTTCTGAGTCTGGCTGTTCTTTGTGTCCATTTCATGTATATTTGTAAAGTCCCCCGCGACACAGGATATATTTCGAGTGCGGGGTTGTCTTTTTAAAAAAAATATTCAAGTGAGAATATTTTGTACAACAAACACACACAAATTTCACGTTTTTACATTTTAGACAAGAAAACTGTCATAAAGATAGCCTTTGTGTCATACACGTCAGACATGAGTATAGTAATATCGGTACTATTTTGTTAAAAAGTTGATAAATCAAAAAAGGTAGCTAACAATTATTATCACGAATGAATTTAAACATCTAAAGTAACAAAGTATCTTGTTGTTTACCTTTGTCCAATAAAGTATTTCTTTTTCCAAATACTTTAATTATGTTTCGAATGAGGAGGCGTCACCAGAAACCAAGTTATGCAGCCCCAAACGGACTTCAAAGCTGTAACACCTCAAGTTTTTAACGTTATCGAGGGTAAAAAATAGTCCTTAACTTGGGAGTGCTTTTATCACGCAGTGAATGAATTTGAATTATAACGAAGCTAGAGGGTCCCTAAGAAATTCATTAGAATTAAGCTTGGATTTTGTATAATTATCATTAGGCTCAATTAACTTCATTTGAAGGTTGGCTTTTATTAGACTTCTCAAGTGGCTTACATTTAACTTAAAGACGTACGACGATCCAAGAAGGCGTAGTAATTGACTAATTACGAGTACTACAGCCTCCTTGGATACCGTGCGCTTGCCTGCGGGTTATCTTTTGATTCTATATACGTATGTATACTTTATACAAATAAATAAAATTAAAGTGTCTTTTTGTAATGTCAAAATAATAGGTTTTTTTTCATGCTTACACGGTTATTTACACGATACCTATGCCTTTTTTTTGTTGACGGAGTGGAAAATCCATTCGGATCTTCGGCTCCTTGAGGATATAGGAGCCAGGAGTATGTGGTAATTCCACTAAAAACCACTCCGACGGCCAGCCTTAGGCGCCCTGCTCTGGGGAGAACCCGGGCCATGTGATTTCAGGTCCCCCCAAATCGACGCCGCACCTAACTCTCTGGGAAAGTCAATGGCTTCTCCCTGCCTATCAGCCTAACGATACCTATGCCTAAAAACCAGTTTGTTTTTTTTGTCTGTCTGTCTGTTTGTTCTGGGTAATCTTCTAAACGGCTGGACCGATTTAGATAATATTTTACTACCAGGTAGCTGTTTATATAAGCTGTAACTTAGGCTATTTGTCCTCTTAGAAAATCCGTATAAAATTTCGCCCGGTCCGGGAATCGAACCCACTAAGGCAGCGCTCTTCAAATTCCACGCCAACGAAGTCGAGGGTACTAGCTCGTATGTAATAATCATCATCATATCATCATAAGTGCTCGTGCATCGTAAGTGCATATCTTTACATAAAAACGGAACAAAACCATTAATATTCTGTAATAATCATAACTTTAATACTTGCATTCAACTTTTACAAAGTAAACTTCAGTGTTTTCTTTAATTTAAAAGGTCAATAAATTTTCATTTACAATATTCGGGTTTACAGGTTTACATAAACATGCTCATAACAATAAACATAAAATGGATGATCAACTTTTCAATACTACCCACACTGAGCGAAAACAAAGATACTATACGAAAATACTAATAAAAATCAACTTTGTATTTTTTACTTAAACATACCTTGTTTATACCTACGCAGTTATAATATTTATGTATTCATAAAGGCCTTTTAAAAAAACAATTTGAAACATTAAAGTCACAAGTCCCTTAAACTATGTGCCATTTTATTTGTTCAGTTTTTTCTTTTAAGTATTTTAAAATACTTTCTTGCTCCTAATAGTATTAATCGCTAGATTATTCTTGACAAATTTGTATTTTTTGCAACGATGTAGACCTAGCTATACAGCGCGGTCATAAGTGCATTTTTGATAATTTTGCAAGTTTTTAATATTCTATGGATTTCGAAAGGAAACTTGAATAGTTATGTTTATATCTTTAATATATTTACGACATTAATTAATATATTTTATTTATTGATACATCATGCACATTTAGTGCACTGGCGGATTTAATGCCCTTAGGCATTAACTACAGCCTCCTCAGAATGCCTTAGCATTCTCTTCCAATCAACCATTGGGTGATGCAGAGAAAATAGGAAGTAGGTGTATTTATGTTACAATTAAGTTTAAGTGAATTTAGCAATATATACTTTAGAAATATATACACAAACATGTCACATATACTAAACTAATTTTTCGTTTGTTGCAGAACGCAGAGGCTTCGTATGACTTCAGTAGCAACGACCCGTTTCCATATCCAAGATATACTGACGACTGGTTCAATAGGTATGCACTAATCAGTTTCATTCTGTTCTGTTACGTTTTGATTTCTCATATAATAACTAAAGAAGATAGGCTACCTGCTAAGTAGCAGAAAGGTATTGTAAAATTGTCAAGATTGGTTTGGTACGCTGAACCTGTGTTTATAAAATATCAGAATCAGTTGAAATAAGCCTGTTTTTTTCTACGAGAGATCTTATGTAGAATATATCAAATACATTATAAATTGCGTTAACGCTAGCTGTCGAACAAATATTAAGTTGTAAATTCTACACAAATGAGTTCTGATGTCGGTCGTCCTTAAACTTTATCGAAGTCATTAAATTGTCTGCAAAGTCTTATTCGAATAAAATTTGCGGAGTATGAGATGCTTAAATTTATATTGTAAGTAAGAGTTTTCCACTTAATACAAGATCCATATAGATTAAACTTGTCACACAATTCAAAGGATTAGCACTTTTGTAATTGTCCAAGATTAATTTTCTTATCAGGACGTTCCAAATTTTATGAAGTTTATGACTAGCAAAGGTTACTTATGTTTTTTATGATTTTATCTTAGGTTACTTATCTGTTGCTGCTATCCGTTTTTTAATTAAGGCTGATGTTTTTAATATAACACTAAGTTGTTTGCAAAAATGTTACATGTACTAATAAACATTATTAAACTGAATATAAAATAGAGAAATATGCAATATATGTATATTTTTTATAAACAACTTCTGCATTAGGAATATATTATTATCCTGTGTCACGGGGGACTTTACAAACATACATCAAACGGACACACGGACACTTCATATCGTAGTTTTTTGTACGTAGGTGATCTCTATTTTCAATAAACTACTGGACACTTTTTTAACTTTCCCCCCATATGAGATGGTTCTACTTGCCTCTACACTCCATATAAGTAACTTAGGCAACATTATTTAAAAAAAATAAAGAGGGCTACCCGCAAAATTTATACGTATCTAATTATGATCGAAGCCGTGGCGGGAACGTTGTTGGTTAATAAATCTGTTGACTAAATTTTTGGCATTCTAACTCTAATTCGTGTTTATAACACATTTTCTTTTAAAGAGTTCTCTGTAATTTTCATACTACAGTTGAAAGTTTTCTTATGAATACATTTCTATTTAGTGCGGGGCAAAACCCTAAAATTATATGAGTTTTGCTACACGAATAACTTATTTATATGGAATGATTTATACAATAACGAGCTGTTATATGTTACTAGGATATTTATATTAGGTATTGTTACATTAAATATAACAAACCGTATGGATGTAATCGTTTCATAAAACTGTAAAACCACTGTATTTTGTAAAGGTGTCGTTAAAGAGACTGTGGTGTTAAGCATTGGTGCCTATTGAAAGCAGCTTATTTAATTTGTGAAGTTTAACTTTTTTCATTGAAATTATTAATATCCATATCTACACTTTGTAAGATAAAAGACAAATTAAATACAATAGATTAAAGATGATGTTATACATAGAGAAGTCAATTCGTATCATCATCATCAACAGCCTTCCAAAATGATAAATTCGTATGAGTATGTAGGTATACTCGTATTAGTCGACTTAAGTAAAGAAGGTTAATTAATCATGTTTTCTTTCATTTTGAGGGTATCGTATTAGAAAACTGTAATCTTGTATGGGCGTACATTTTAATTAAATCGATATAATGGTAAAAAAAACCTTGCCAAAAGGTAAAGTGGATATGATTTTCATTCCCGTCTATCCCATCCCATAAGTCGTCATTAACATCAAAGATAGTACTAATACTTAGTACTTTAAAAGATTAAAGTGTCATTGTAATTTAAATTGTTGCCACCAAAGAGGTCTCAAGTGTTTTTACTTTAGAGTACACGAAAGTAATAACTTTGTTCGTAATCTGAGCGCTAAAAGTAGTATTTATTTCGCAGCCACGGGACGAGATGCGCGGGTGAAGTGGCTGCAGCGAGAGACAATGGAGTATGCGGCGTGGGCGTTGCTTACCACTCTAAAGTTGCCGGTAAGTGATTGGACAGAGTGCATTAGATAGCGCTTTACCCAAGTTTCACTCAACAATTACGTAAAACTGTCAATAGATCTCTCTATTAATATAACAATATAACAACATAACACCTGATGTTTTGTAGATGTGTTTCGATGTTTATTCATTGAATTAAAAAAAATATATTATTCATTGAAAATCAAATCAAATCCTTGATCAAATACATAATTTAAAAATATGAATATTTAAAAATATTTGATCATGTCACGTATAATTGTAAAATATTGCTTTTTCTAAGATTCTAATTATGTAGTATATTTGTAATTTTGACGTTTCCAATTTGATCTTTAACTAATGATCATTTATTACACATAATTTTCTGGTTAAGCTTGTTGAGATAAGCAAGACAGAAAAAATTGTTTTCAATTATGTATTTGATGAAGGATGTGATTAGATTTTCAATGAATAAACTTTTTTTTTTATGTTATTTTGTTTTATGATTCATTCCGAATTAAATGCAGTAGAACTAGGGAAACATTTTAAATTCTCTCTACTTTGACCGTCGAACTAATAAAATAAGAAAAAAAAATCTCACTAGTTCGACAATTGAACTGATGGATCGAACTAATGAGAACAAACCCATATTTCTTGGTAAAAAAAATTGAGTTAGGTATCTAATTCTGTATTATATAATACCACATAGGTATGTAATACTATATTCACAGTAATTTCTTCATAAACAAGAGAAACATTGACCATCAATATTAAATGTCAACTATACAAAGACGGTCACATTCACAACATAGTCATGCTGTCACTTGTCACCGAAAAGGAATAGCCCCGTAGGTACCTATCCTTGCTCGGAATTTTGTTTCACGTCGCCCGCTCTTATTCAATAAACACGCTAAACTGTAATAGAGATAGTTGGGTTTATAGCATTGTCTCTTTTCATGGATTCAATTTGTGTTTTCTGAGGTATTCTTATTTTAGTTCGCTATAACTTTCTACTTTGTCTCTAAGCACTTCTTTTGAAGGACTGACCTTTGCTGGATTCAGATTTTGTATTTATATATATGAACTACCAGCAACAGTTCACGGCAACGGCATTAAACGCGTTTACGTTTTTTGTGACGAGTTCCTACTCGTGTAGTTTGCAGACATAAGTGAATTGCGAACTTTCACGTTGAAGAAATAGTAAACACTTCAGAGTAAGGTTTTCATGAAGTAACGTTGTTTTTTTACACATTTGGTTTGTTTACATTATACGTCTGACTTAATCTAGAAGTATATTTTTAAATTTGTATTAAAGAATTTTTAGACTTCGCCTTAAGGCTACAAATTATCTGTTTGTGGAAAAACAATTGGTCTTACTAAAGATATCCCTACTACGAGTATATCTAAGATAAAATAAAATCGAGCGTGACATATTGTCCTGTACCCTTCTATCGGGCACAGGGCTAATCTTATTATTTAAGTGTTGAACCATCCATTACCTAACGTTATTATAAGATTATCTAACAATAATTATGATTTATAATTTGATATGACACACATAGGGCACAAACTTCAAGTTATATCAAAGTAATACTTATTCACGTTTAAAATGAACTCTTTGTCGTATAGAAATCTTAAAAAAACTTTAAGGGCCTCTCACATTAGTTAATAGAAATTATTCATTGCAGCCCAGCCGGGGGGGGGGGGGGGGGGTTTCTGGAAGGAGATAGCCCACCTATCCCACCTTAAAAACAAGCATAAATGTCCGTTTTTAAGTCTAAATACCACAACCAGAGCTTCCTAACAAGATCAATAACCGTTACACATGCAAGTAATAATAATAATAACTTTTACTACTTTTCTGGTTGCTTCAGTATGAATCTTTAAAACTTCCAAGAATTACGTTCGATTCCGAGGGAAAGTATAATTGAGTTTTGAAAATGCTGTTATAACTCTTAAATTGGATTGGTAGTAAATTATTCGACGGACCTTGCCCTTCGTGCCGTTTTAAGACATTGTAACTACCTATGATGAGTAAATTATATTTTTACTTGTGGGTTTCACTTTCCACGTATGGATATTTAAATATTCGGGTCATGATTATCTGGGTACATGTACAACGATGATCGTCGATCGATTTTATATCTCGTTTTAAAGACAAATTTGTATGTACAAGAATCACTATTAAGTAGTTTACTAGAAATATAGGAAAGATTCTTCTCTTTAAGTTTTGTAGTAAGTTTTTCCTGTTAAGAAACTTGTTTATTATGTAGCTAAGCATTATTTCCATACATAAAAAAGGTACTTAGCAATAACAAGATTTTTATTGATTTTTTAGATCAACTTAGTATGTAAATTAATATTCTAGATAGGACAAAAAATAATATGTAGTATAATCTAATTAAATATGTAAGTATTTACAAAAAAAAATCTATCATTCAATATAGCTTTCATAGTACAATCTCTGCTTAGTTTAAAACTAGATGGCGTTGTGTGTCAGATGTCTTTAATATTATTATATAAAATGACTTACCCTGACTGACTGGTTCATCAACGCAGGGCCTAAACCGCTAGGGCTACAAACTTGAAATTTTAGCAGCAAATGCTTTTTATAGTTTCTGGAGTTCCTGTTCCTGTTTTTTTGTGTAATAAATAAATATAATAATAACATATTCACTAGTCCAACAGGCTTGTCAATTATGCTGTAAGCACCCACTAACAAAAAAATTTTTGGAAATTTCGCTCCTAAGGGGTTAAAATAAGGGATAAACGGTAGTATGAAAGTTCTTCATATTCAATAAAGACGAAAAGAAATAAGCACCCGAGCGAAGCCACTGGCAATAGCTATTTATGAAATAATCTATCTATTACAGCAGTCATCCCTAGATAATTACGCATAGCTAGTAAATAGTACTCCGCACATCTCCGCACGTGTTCGGAATCCCCAGAGGCGGTATCGCATTACTTGCGCTCCAGCGGACCGCATGATTGCCACATTTTTGTACACAGGGAGTAACCACGACATTTGACGACACAACTTTCGCATTGACCGTCATCAAACGTTACTTAAAACTCGAAAGGCAATGCCATTTTCGAAAAGGTTAAAGTTGAATGATGACTGGTGGAAGACAGTAGATTGTAATGCTCGTAAAATTTGGAAGAGAGATCGATTCATTTGGTCTGGAATGGGATATATTACAGTTACTTCTTCTTGAAAAAATAACATACATAAATCAACATTAACGAGAGCGAATTTGCGGGCATTAGCTAGTCTAATAAAGAAATAATCATAAGAGGAAGTATGATATTTTTTTTAAAAAGAGAACTCCCGCACTAGGAATATGTTCTGTGTCGCAGGAAACTTCATAAACATACAGGGAACGGATAAAAGGACGACCAGACTTAGAACAACAATTTGTGGATTACACAAGTTTTTTTTAATCGAATTGTGTAATTGTACATTTACCTAATTTCTTTTGACTGACTTCACTGTTACATTACAATGCTGAAGAACACGAGTGCATTGATAACGAAAAAAGTAATACCGCTTAAGTGCATTTCAATAACATTGCAATGAAATGTTCGGCGGCTTTTATACTATTTTCACATATTGTTTGAGAAGAAAATGGAAATTTATTTGTTTGATATTTTTCAGTATGTTTTCCTAATAGAATTTTCAGTTATTGTAGAATAAACTTCTAACAATGTTCTAAGATTATCCACGGTTATAAAATTGTTCGATTCTGTGCGAGTTTTGTTTACCTTTTGTCAGGAGAAAATTGAACCTAAATAATTTTACCTTTATGATATAATTTGTTTTGTTTTTTTTTTGTGATGGTTTTTGGTCGGTTCGAGTCCGATATAACCATCCCACCGGTGGGTGGTATCCGAGGGAATTTACGCACAGAAAAAAAAGTTGGAGTCATTACTCTTTCTCTTTATTTAAAGACGTAGATGGAGCCTTCATTTGTTTCACCATAATATAAAACCTTTAACCCTTTAAAAATGCGTAGTTTACTTGCACGTAAAAGTGTTACTATAGTTAAACCGCCGTAAGCTTGGCCCTCCTGATGGTTTGCGGGACGCGGGGCGGGTGATGCGCTCGGCTATACATGACACGATGTACTAACTCGATATCTTCAGATTTATTTGTTTGAGATTTAATCTACACACGATGTAATAAAAATCGAATTTATTTCCATGTATTATAATGTCAGTGTATTGTAAGTTTTTATGATTAATTGTAAAATTTAATACTGTAAAATAATTTTAATAAAATCACCTTATCTTCATTATGTAAATTATATTCAGATACAATTTTAAAATTTAAGTAAAATAATAAATATTCTTTATTAGAACTTTAACAATAGAACCTCTGTAAGCTGAACTTCAAGTTTTTAAATCTTTTTGTGACGCAGATTCGGCAGATTATCCATGTTGCAAAATAATACCGTGTGTAGCAGTCTTAAGAAAAATAACACGTACAACCATGCTTTCACGTCAGTCACTGCCGGCGGACAGCGACGCACTAGCTAATTGGTTGAATGCACCCCCGCCCCGCGTCCCCCAAACCATCAGGAGGGTCAAGCTTACGGCGGTTTAACTATAGTGGTGGTTTTTGACAACGGATAAACTGAAAATTCGTGCAATTTTTTAATATTACTTCCTACGTGAAAATATTGATGCGCCGATGGCCTAACACTGCTTGCATAAACACGATCCATTATTGGTCCAATCGTTTTAGATCTGAAAAAAAAATTTAAGTGAAAAAAGATAGCGAATCGGCATAAAAACGAGGTAATTCCAAATCGAATTGTGATCTTCGATGAAAAGTGGTATCTATACCGTTTGTCTCAGTGGGTGGACCTGGGTCCAGCACCTAATAGGTGCGCTAAAAAAAATATTACCCATAGGAAGATGATTGTAACTGTCTGGTGGACCAGTGCCGGAAATGTACATCAAAGCTTCTTACCGAATGGCACAACAGTAATGGCAGATGTCCATTGCTAAGCTTTTTCAAACAATGATGGAGAAGCTCGCAATTCCACAACCATGACTGTCCATCAATCGCTCTTCCGCATTGCTTCCCCACGACAACGCGCGAATTCACATTTTACGACAGACCATCGCAAAGCTACAAGAGTTACAGCTGGAAGCTCTCCGTCACCCACCGTACTCACCGGACCTTGCTCCAACAGATTTTTACTATTTTTTCAATTTAGAGATTTTTTTAAGTGGGAAAAAATTCAACACCGAGAGGACAAAACCCTGTCGCTGACTTCATCGCATCCCATTCAGCAGACTTCTACAGTAAAGAGATGATGAAAATGGCAAAATTATATAGATAATTTGGGCCAGTACTTTGATTAGCTTAAATAAAAAAATAACCAAAAATTTTATATTTTTTACAAATCTCCAACTTCATAGGTGAATACCTAATATAACATAATTATATAACTATAGTATAATAGCAGTAGTTAGATTTTTGTTGTAAACAGTTGTAAATTCATGACAATGGGCTGAGTAAAAGTGTGAAAAGTTCCATGGGTAACCAAACACGATAGAAATAAAAGAGTCAGAAACAGAAATAGAAAAAACAAAGCTTACTTCGTAAAAGTTAAAGTTGGAGTACTTTAACTTTTACGAAGTAAGCTTTGTTTGTTGTTGTTGTAAGCTAATTACTTACAAATAAGTTCATTTCTTTTCATAAAACAGTAAACAGGACCAGTATTACATATTCGTGGAATTTTCTCATCCAAAACTGACCTTTCGGCAACAAATTAAAACAAAACCGACTGCCTAGAAAAGTTACTGCTTGGGATTTTTTTCACTTTTGTTCATTTATACGAATAAATGAAATCCAGGCGTTGACAACTTTTCAAAAATAGTTTTAAACACTGCATATTATGTTAAAAATAATACTCATAAAGTAATGTTTAATTCATTATTTTACCCTTAAGGCAAATAGAAGTATATTTTTAATTTAAATAAAAATAGGATACAAAATACGGCAGTATATCCCATCATTCGACAGAGTACTATTAATTTGAATGAAAATTTACTCTGAGTGTAAAATTAGCCCTGGACATTATGAAGGAAGAACTTGAATAATTTGGCACAAAACCAAATCACTTACTTCCCAAATTATTATTTGTATTTTCGCGCCAACTAAAGACATGACAAGCAAGACAGCTGATTGGTTAATAAGCTGTGAAAATTGTACGATTACGACATATTTTCTAATTGGTGTTTGCAATCACGTGCCCCACGGATTAAAAATCCTATATTTGTCTTAAGGGAAAATAAAATAAATAGAATCTATTTAATTAAATGGTTATCTCCAATTCTTTAACATACTGTCCACTTGTGGATTAGTGTCTATTTGTAATGTCATAAGAACAGTTTTTATAAAATGCATCTGATAATTTCAGATTTTTCTTTTTTAATTTTACCTCCTTTCTAAGGAAATGCCTATGTCCAGCAGTGGACTAAAAGCTGTTGATGTTATGTGATGTGATCTGATCTGATAATTTTTACGATACTCATACAAAAAACATGTTTTAAATTTTATTTACGTTTGTTTATCGCAATTATTTCCATATAATCTCCGAAACGTGAACTCTATTTACCTAACGGGGTGTTAACTGGCAGATGTTACATGTTAAAACGAATATTATGGTTATTATTTTTAGTTCATGTTAAAATAACTTAAAACTATTTTAACATTAACTAATTAGTCTATTATTTTGGAAAAAAATAGGATGGTATAAAGCCACGGTAGGCACGGCTAATAGTAGGTACAATATTTTAGGAATAAGAACTTAATAAGAGATAGTAGTATTTTACTACCCAAGAATGCAATATTTGTTACTGTTTATTTGTAACTCTTGTAGGTTACATGTGTGTTACACATCCGATAACATTATTTTCTTTATAAAAAAATATATTTCTGGACACCCCATCAGTAAAAGCTCTAAGTATCAAACACTGATGTATCCACCCTTATTGTAGGGAAGTACCAACCTAAAACTGTTTTAGTATGTTTACTTATGATAATTTCGTCCGAGATTAGGGCGCGAGGTCTCAAGAGGGTGGAGGAAGTTTCCCTCTATGACGCTATAAAGATCTCCTCGAGATTACGACACAGGCTTATTATGTTTACGTTGAGTCGAGATTGTGGACGTGGCCACTAACGTAAATAAGAGTTTATGTTTGTCTTGATTTATGTGTTTTATTTAACCTACTACTTCTTTTGTTCAATAGATTGTTCCCAGCTAATTAATATTCTTTTAAATTTGACCATGTTTTGTATTTTTAAATGTGAACAACCCCACCTTAAAATAAAACTCTTCACCATGTGTGTTTAATAAGAATCTATTAGTAAATTTTAACATAAAAGTATTTGAAAATATTCTGTATGTTAATACTTAAAGTAGAACGTAATATCGAAAAAACACTACTAAACGTAATGCTGATATTTTCAGAAGTTGTTTAACGTTTCAGAAATGAGAAATGGTAAGCTACAAACGGCTAATACTATAATAACAATTCGTCGCTTTTTTGTAACATACTAAATATATTCCGCCTATACACAATCTACTAGGCTGACATGAAATTAATTAACCTACGAAACGCCGCTCACTAAACACTAATTAGATAAACACGTACATTTTCGGTATCGATCCAATTTCCTCAATTTGCAACTATACGGCTCATATGACGAATCGTGGCTTTACTGTAAACCTACCTTATTGTCGGCTTTATCGGCCTATGTAAACTAGAGAGGAGCTTATATTGTTTTACCATATTTTGATTACCAAGTATTTTTAGATCGCCGCGTCACTTAGGGTTAATTAAATTTGATTTGCTGGTTGCGCATTGAATTTTTTTTTTCTGGACATTTGAAATTTAAATGTAGAATAAACATTTGAAGTTTAGATTTGATTTTTTTTTTCCCTTCTTTTATTTCTTTTCTTGAGACATATCCCGACAGAGTAAAGCAAAAGATTGACGCTCAAGTCTTAATGTGGTCGGATGGTCTTTTCTTTTGGATAGTCCACATAAAAAATGATGTACTTTAAAATTGTAGAACAACATTGAGTTGACTCCTGATGAAGACAGAATATACTTTAATCAGTGATAATTTTATAGTAACACTTACAATCCGTCTGGATACAATAAAAAAGGGATAGTTCAGTTCAGTTTGTAACACGCTCGGGAGTAATTATGGCCGTAATGTTAGCCTTAAAAGTACGATAGTCGACCATCCAAAACTTAAACGCAGGTAATATATCAATAACTAGTAATTTAATGCGGTCGCCACAAAATCCTTATGAATTAATTATTGATTACAAGGGCTTACAGAATTTTCAAAGATGAAGTTTGTTTGCGCCTTTTGTATGTACCTACTCATATTTGTTGTATGTATGTGTCTTTTTATTTATTTTTACCTAATCTATTTGTCTTATAATTTTTCATGAAAAGAAATTATAAATAAAAAGTGAGTTTCTTTTTATCTTCCTACCGCCGAAGAGTCCCCAATTTGGACCTGTTTGGACCAATCATTGTCCAGAAACGGTTAACACTTCCTCTCTAAGCCCTTTAGCCCTCTTGGCTTTTCGAACACGCATGGGACATGCTCTAGAGAACCTGGACGGAGTGTCGACAACCTAACAACCAAAAGACTTTTTAAAATTTCATTAAGAGCGATTGCCGCAAGATCAGGTTTATAAATTCAATAAAAAATCGTTTCCGAAAAGTTCTAAACAACAGAGGTGGTCACACTTTGTATTGAGTTACCAAATAATCAAAATAAATGTTATTTAATTTTGTAAAACATCAAAAGTTTAATTTCGTTTTAACTTTATTACATACTACGTATGTTTATACGGTACACATATTTTTAGTTAAATGGACAATTCAATGATGGATTTTGTTGCTTTAGTCACTAATGCATCAAGGAATGCTTAGTTATTATTTATAAAAGAAATATAAATATATTACAATAGTAAAAATGGTTCAAAAGTTCAAAACCGTACATGTTGCTTAGACTTTTTTGATGTCTGTATTCATCAGTGATTGCTTCACCTTGGCCATGTGAAAGTATGGTTTACTAAATGCTTTTTATCAGCAATCAACACTTACTGAAACCTAAGCTCACTGTTTTGCACAAGCCCGCGCAGTAGCAAAACGTTACAAATCACAAATGCAATCAAAAGATGCAAGATTAAGGCTCAACTTGATCTTGCATCTTTTACATACCAACTTGTATTTTTTGAACCGATCGATAATAGACATGTCTTTATTTTTTAATCACTCGACGATACTGAGCTGAGCTCCTGGTATCCTGGTTCCTCCATAGTTACGTTGTAACAAACAGTTTAAACTCACCATATAATTTACAAAGCAGATATAGGAGATAGTTGTGAAATGAGTTGTTATCATTTAGCTTTAAATGTACGTGGACATATTACACAACGGTTTCTAGACCTAAACTAAGCTTGTAGCATCACCTCTACTATTGGTCCTAGAGTACAAGTTAAATATTATACCTACAGCAATATATTCATGCAAACAATTATTATTTGTAATTAGCGTAAATCGAACTTACGACTGTCGACCACCATCACCAATCGACTTTGTGCTAAGATGTAATTTGTTCCAGGTATCAGGATGTTGGATCAGCCCTACATGACTGATTTGATCGAGGCAAACTCCATGGGCCACGAACCTCACAAGATCCACATATACAGTGCTTCATGGGGTCCTACCGATGACGGCAGGACGGTTGATGGACCAAGGAATGCTACCATGCGAGCTATTGTTAGGGGAGTTAATGAGGTAAGTTAAAAGCCTCCTGTCACTGTTTTGTTAAGCCACTTCAAGTCCAATTACCAATTATCCTTAGCTACCTCATATGTATATTTTATTACTTCATCAATCCAGCGTGGGTTGAAAGAAGAGGAAGTGACAAAAATTGCAAAGGAATGTGCGATGGTACGTGTCATGTTAGAAGCCTATACCAACAAAAGATGCATACCTACTTTTTGAAACATCTGTCTACTTCAGACGCGATCAGTGTATATACATATATCAGATCATAGCAAATGACGTTCAACCGTTCCTGTCTACTCTGGACGGGAATAAGGCTGGAGTATATGCATGTGTGTACATACAAAAAAAAAACACTGAGTATCTTTTTTTTGGGTAATAATAATTATTTGGGGTTAAAGTATGAAATTGCGGATTTGTACAAAAAAATTGAAACTCGTTTTTTTTAGATTTAACATATTTATTTAATCAAAATATTTACCCTCATTATCTATACATTGCTGCCTTCTAAACGGAAGATCATTAATGCTTATACGATAAAACTGTGTGAAAGCATTTTGTATTGCCTCCTGGGCAGTTTTTTTTATCACGTAGAAAATTGTCCAAATCACAAAATAAATTGTAGTTCATTGGAGCAAGGTCTAACGAGTACGGAGGATGACGTATGGTTTCTAACTGCAGCTCCTGTAGAGTTACAACAGTTTCTCGTGCAGTGCGAAGTCTTGCGTTATCATGAAGCACTAATGGTGAAGATCGATTCACGAGTCGGGACTGTCTTACTGCCAGTTTAGCCATCATTGCTCGAAGTTCGGAACAGTACGAGTTAACATCTGCTGTTATTGTCTGTCCAGACCTGAGCAAGCTATAGTGAATGACACCATGAAGAGACCACCAAACAGTTACCATTACCTTTCTATTGATTAACTTTGCTTTAGGGCACTGTTGCGGCGTTTGACCTAGAGTCAGCCATTATCGTAAACAATCCACTTTTCGTCACATGTCACATTTCGGTTCAATATTCCTTCATTTCTGTACCGATTCAACAAGGCAACACAAGCTTCAAAACGCATTGATTTCTGCAGATCAGTCAAGTCATGAGGCACCCATTTTTCATATTTTTTATCTTATTGATTTGATGCAAATGAGTCAATATTGTAGGTAGAGTAACGTTAAACCATGCCGCTAATTCCTGGGCAGTTTGACTCGGATCGGCTTCCACCATCTGTTTCAATTTAGCGTTATTCACCGATGTGGGCGGTCTTCCATGTGGTACGTTCTTCAAGTCGAAGTTTCTATTATGAAAGCATGTAAACCAAAAACGCACGGTGCGTTCATTAGCAGTCTCCTCTCCAAACGTAACGTTCATATTGGGAGCCGTTTCTGCCGCGTTAGTTCCGCGTCAAAACTCTTATTCAAAAATAACTCGGCTTTTCGAAATAGCCATCTTTCACGTCTAAGCTGAATAAAAAAAACAATTGAAAGTCGCAAATCGAATGTTGCACATTTTTTAAAAGAAGATCCTCACAGGTATCATGTAAAAAAAGTTTCACACGAACATGTCACACCATAAAGGTTTTATATCAATTCAAAGTATCTTTTACTATACAACGGCAATTTCATACTTTAATCCCTATTATTAGAATTAAGATTTCGCTGTGTAATATAATATACCCTAGAAAAATATAGTTGATAGAACTTAACAAAACAAAATTAAACCCTGGGCTATGTTTTTAGGAAAATTGGTAATTTATTTTTCTATTTCGTTTGTATTGATTTTAAATTTCAAATACGTTCTGTTATATTTTAAAAAATAACATGATTTCAGGAGATTAAAAAATGGTATTTTTTTATAAGTTAAATGATTTTATTGGAAAGAAAGAAAATGATGATGTATATAATGTAAGAAAAACTAAAATATGAAATCCGCCATTTTGTGGTGGCGGCCATTTTGAACTTTGTTCTTTAATGTACCGTATTTTACTAGTTAAGCTTTAACCTAGGTTAAAAAGTAAAAAGTAATCCGCCCTATTGTGGTTATGACAATCTCGGATTTATAATAATAATGAACAAACAACATAGTTTTGGTACACCTAAGTTTCAGATCCATCGATCAATAGGAAAGAGGTAAAATTTAATAATAAAAAAATAAAACCTTTAAAATAAATTTATAAACGGAACCGTGCTTGATTGTAACTAGATTGAATATAATTGACCTGCGTTTGCTTATATTTTTAAACTTTTTTCTGTGTACCACTTAATAACAGATAAGTACACAACCATATGTTAAGTAGTATTTATTTATACAAACACTGACACAACTAGAATTTACTTAAGTACAATCTCATTTGCATCCCAACATCAAAGCGTTAGAAAAACGATGAAAACCCGCTACTTACATTTCTATTTAAAGATGTATTTTATGTCCATATTCGTCCACTCACAGAAACCCAAAATGGCTCGGATTTAACGGATTTAAATAAAGATTGTCTGTTTGCATTAGCATCCATTTCAGAGCATTTCGTGAGAGTATCCGTAAATAGTTACCTAAATGCGATCATCGTTTAATGTGTCGAAATATTCATGAGTGTAACCATTACCTAAAATAAATGAAACGTTGTATACAATTGTAGCTTTTTTACCTTTGACACAGCCTTTTTTGGGATGAGAAATACCCTTTTTAAATTTACATATATGCCCTTGTAATTATAAAAGGTTTAACCCACGTGTGTATTTTGGGGATGCCCGACTCGACTAGGAGACCGTCCTGACGACGGTTTTTTTATGAGCCGTCAATACACCTGAAGAACACATATTGTATCACTTGGAATAAATATGAATAAAAAAATGATTTTGCTTAGAATAAATCTATGCTAAGATATATTTTATACTTTTTACTAAGATTTTTTTTACTCACAGCAAAAAAAAAACAAATGTGTTCACATTATAGAAGCTTCATACCAATTGGGCATGTATTAATTTAGATAATATGTCTGTCATAACCATTTATTATGTTTAAGATTATTTAAACAATAAATGTATTCTATGTTCAATTTGTGATGACTGAAAATGAAGTTTAATTTTTTTTCAGGCAGTCTTTAATGTTGTCTGTAGAACCATTTTATTTTATAGCTACTGTAATAAAGTAAAACGTTTAAGTGCAGGATGGGATAAAGACCACTTAAGTAGCAAACGAATCATTAAGAACTATCTTTATGTAATTCCATTAAAAACGACATTAAATGCCTCGTGGGTGGAATTACTTTACTCCGGGCGGTCAAAAGGGGTTGAACGACACCCCAGTCAAAGAGGTTGAGAAATCACCTGGCTAAATCGACAGCCATCGTCCGCTTTAATATTTTGTCACTTGGTTTAATGGAAGTCATCCCTTATCTCTGACTTCTACCTACCTAACGTTAATGGAAAACCCTTTCCTTACTATTATCACAATACGTCATTTACTTTAAAAGTCTTTAGACACCGACATCCGAGTATATACCGAGTCGGACTCGCCCACCGAGGCTTCCGTACACATTTTTAGGTACATGTTATAAATAGTTCAGGAATCGAATCTCGTAGTTTTTTTCCGAGCTTTGCCCGAAATTTAGTTTCCAAAACCTATAATTCGGTGAAGAACTTATATTCTTGAGTTTCTTAAGAGAAATTATCCCTCAATGATTGACTATATTTTTTATGATTTATTTACAAATGTATAGTTTTCAGATTTTTCCCTGTACAAGTAAAATAGCATCGTCTTGTACTGCAAGAGTATAAGACGATGTTACTTGCCAAATTTCAGAGTTGTAGGTCCACGGGAAGTACCCTATGAATTTTGATTCCCTTAAGAGTGTCGAAATATGCGTTTTTTTAAGGCAAAAACAGCCGTATCTTTTATTTACGTTAACTTAGGAGTTTAATTATTTTGCAGCTTCAAGGGACCGCAGACTTGAAAACATGATTTTAATTTCAACTCGATACCTTAACGCGTTCCCGGGATAAAGGGTCTTGATAGACAGACAGACAGACGGACAACAAAGTTGTAACGACTCCCACATACAAAGAAACAGTAACAGTAACTATAGAGTAACTCCTAAATGAGAATAGCTAATCCTGTATCGCGATATGATCACCTCGCCTGGTCGGAGGATCCTCCCTTTTTGTTGGAGGAGCATGAAACCCGTTCCTCCACAAAGTGATCCTATAAGGGTTCCGTGTTTTGTAAAAGTCGATCTCTCTATTAAAGTGACTTTATTTCCGCCACTGTTGGACGTCATTTCCCGCAACTGAAAGTGGTTTGAGCGGTTGAGTTGAAATACGGGTCGATGGTACTTCCTGTCTATAACGAGACTTGAGAGTTAGTTATCGCAAACTAAACGTCATGTTGTTTGTACCGTTTCAATGCATAGAAGTGAACGATTTAAAGTCTCTTGAAATATTTTAGTTCTATTTGTTGTTATTGTTACTATTTTATTCATTCTTAACCAACAATGTTTCCTAACTTTACACACGAGTTATAATTTTTAATTAAATTTAATTAAATTTTGCATTTTAATAAGCTTAGGCATATACTAGTGAAATTGATTAAAGGCTCGACGTATCAAATCAAATCAATAGTCTTTAATAGTCCACTAATAGACATTGACCACAATGGACCTCTTTTCAGAAAGGAAGTTTTGGCCTACTATACCACGATGGCCAGACGGGTTTGTGTCGAGTTTTCCTTCTCTTAACAGTGCTGTTGTCCTACATAAATTGTTCCCTTAGTCGGTTAATATAATACCCACAGGATGAATGGAGATGGTGTCTTATTCCGTCACCACACGGATAACGGCGATTGTAATATACTATACAATAATAGATTAAGTCCATTTTGAAAAAAAAATATCTACACAAGTTCTTAAATTTAATTTAATTTAATTATAATAACAGACTTACCTGTTATTATAATCAACTAATTATACTTAATAAATGAGATAGACTTATAAGGTTTTCCATTCCCTTTTCACCATTCT